TGGTGTTATTGTTGCTGCTGTTGATTTGCTGTTGCCGCCGTCGCCATTGCCATGGCCTGTCGCTGTATCGTCGCCCCACAGCGTTCGATGCCAAAGACACAGTAGAACCAGTTCGACAGCTGTGAGAGTCATGGCGCGAAAACTCATTGGCATTACATGGCAGCCAGGAGGCACCTTCCTCTCACCATCGCCTCATCCACTTTCAGCACCTTGGCACAGAACGTCGCCGTCGATCAGGTATACTACCACCATCTACTGTCGCAGCAGCAATCACAGGTGCAACAAGAGTCTTGTAGGTATCCAGCACACAAAGCACTTAACACGTACACCGGGGACGAAACACTCTTGATTGGTCGGGAAAACGACACCTGGCATGCTGTGGTAGTCTATTGGGGGAAACCTAAAGCTTGAAACTCAGGTGGGTGGGCATTGCTTGGAGTGGTGTTGGTCCTGAGAACCGAAAGGTTGGCCAAGTCTGAAACGTCTACAGCACCTCCAAAATAAGAGAAAAAAGTTCACAACGGCAAACATTTACACGAAACACACGCACTTTTTTCGTTTCCGCTACCGTTTCGTTGAGAACAGCTTCGAAAAAAACACACCAAAACCCTACGCACTCATGGTTTCCTCTTGCCGCAAAGACTACTCAACCTACAGCAGTAGGTGTTCAACCCTTTACCCGAGGCTTCTTCGCCTTCTTCCTTGTATTGTCGTGCCAGGACCGACATCCCTCGAAGAGATGCAGCCGGATAGCGCGAGCGATTAAAAAAAGTAGTGACATTCACACATGACGCCCCCCCCCTTACGAGGTCCCGGATCATGGCCTATAAAAGCGTTCTCCGTTCTTCAGCCGCACTGAGGCTGGCATCTTCTCATGGATGGGCCAGTCGCTGAAGAAGCGTTTTCCATTTTTAGCCGCACTGAGACTGACGTGTTCTCATGGGCCAGCCGCTTCAAGGGGTCGGCGCGTGTAGAGAAACACATGACGGAGGTGACGCAAGATACCACACACCCCAGGACCGACTGTCAAAGGTTCGATTACACCACACCATACCATACCATACCATACCATACCATACCGTAGGTTGCAAAAGATGTCATACCCCGTGGACCGATTTCCGAAGCTCGATTACACCATACCATACCATACCATATCATACCATACCATACCGTAGGTTGCAAAGGATGTCACACCCCGTGGACCGATTTCCGAAGCTCGATTACACCACACCATACCATACCATATCATACCATATCATACCATAACATACCGTAGGTTGCAAAAGATGTCACACCCCGTGGACCGATTTCCGAAGCTCGATTACACCACACCATACCATACCATATCATACCATATCATACCATAACATACCGTAGGTTGCAAAAGATGTCACACCCCGTGGACCGATTTCCGAAGCTCGATTACACCACACCATACCATACCATATCATACCATATCATACCATAACATACCGTAGGTTGCAAAAGATGTCACACCCCGTGGACCGATTTCCGAAGCTCGATTACACCACACCATACCATACCATACCATACCATACCATACCATACCATATCATACCATATCATACCATACCATACCGTAGGCTGCAAAAGATACCACAGCTCCTGGACCGACCATCGAAGCTCGATTACTCCACGACGACAAGGGTGCACAAATCAAACGACCACGTGTTCGGAAAGTTCTCGACGCGACGGTTCCAACAACGCCGCCGTTCTCGGCACCACAATTTTCTGCCGTGGAGTAATCGAGCATTGAGAAAAGACTAGGGTGTGTGGTATATCACGTCATGCCTCCTACGGTAGACTCACGCACACGCATGAACGTACGTACGCAAGCCTGCCGAAGCCAGCCGCTTAGAGCGGTCGACGTCAACTCACACCCTTCGGAAAAACCCTTACCCTTTCATTTGAAAATTATTTAATTTATCCCGCTTACGAGGCTGAGACTGACGTCTTTCCATTGGTCAGACGGCATCGTGGTGATCAAGACAACACACACGCACACACACCTTCATGCCCCTTCTCACGGAGTACCCGATCATGGCCTTTAGAAGAATTTTGTATTTTCAACCGCACTGAGACTGACGTATTTTCCTGTTATTGGTCAGTCGGTTACCGCGGTCGATGCAAATAACAAAGACACACACACACACACACACACACTCCGAAGGATAGTTTAGCCTCCCCCATGCTGCCCCCTCACGGGGTCCCAGTTCATGGTAGATAGAAGTGTTTTGTGTTTTCAACCGCACTAAGACTGACGTNCAAACACACCTGTCCAAGAGTCTTCTGGGCCAGCCGCTTATTGCGTGCGACGCCAACCAGACAAAAACAGGTACATAGACTCACACCACCTACGTAGGCTCACACACACGCACACGCTGACGTCTTTTCATTGGTCAGCCGGATACCGCGGTCGATGCAAGTAACATGAAGACACGCACATGCACGCACGCACGCACGCACACACACACACACACCTGTCGAAGAATCTTCTCCTCGGAGGAGACAGCGCCGAGCCTTAGGTGCGCCGCCGGGCTCGCCTGCGACGCTATCCTCGCCATCGCCACCGCCTTGACCCCCATCCCCTTCATCCTTCCCCCGAACGCCTTCATTGAGGAAGACACCTTGGCCCCCTCGATTCCCAGGCCCCCCAGACCCCCCCTGCCCCCGCCAGTCGCCGGTAACCCCCCTCTTCCTCCTCGGGCCCCAAAAGACGCCTTCCTTACGAGAGACGACTGCCCCTGGTTGTTAGACGTTGCCCTACCACCAGCATCAGCCCCACCCCCCACCAGCTGCGCACTCTGCGGTGCCCCGGCGGTGGCAGCGGCAGCCGCGGCCGCAGCCGCGATGGGACCCAGCCCCCTAGCCCTGGAGACGCTCACGTGGACCACGACCATGCCGTGGGCGAACGCCTCCTCGTCTGTCGAGAAGAGACCCTGCCGGTTTCGCTCCTTCCTTGCCCTTGCGCGCCACGCCAGGGCTGCGTGCTTGACGGAGTTGTGCACCGGGAAAAGGAACTGCAGCGGGATCTGGAGAGGGGGGGGGGGGGG